TGTCCACCCCCTCCTCCCATCTGTCAAAAAAAAGCTGATCGAAATGCTTAACATGAGAGACATCTCGAGGTGACAATGCACAATGCTTCAAGAATGCATAATGATGATTGAGTATTATGAATGTATAGAAGGCAGGCATTCTTTAAACTCTTGAAAAGGGTTCTCAGTTCTCAGTAGATGACAGCGGTGATACTACACCAATAAATGCATAATAATATTCACTGATAGTCGATGCATCAGAAAGCGTTTACTCGATAAGGAGAGAATCCCTCGCCGTAGCTCATAAATAATTCATGATTCAATAGTTTTTTGCTCATTACTAAGGACAGTCCATGAAGGCGTATAAGAAGTTCAAGCAGAATAACGAAGTAAAGAGTGGAGAGAGAGGGCGGACAATTGCATTTCAAGTGATAGTATCCATAGGTTGAAAAGTTAACGTATTCCTCATTAACTATGCACAGTTTGTTCGATGAAGTATATCTCTCTTTCCTGATATATTTAAAGATTTATTCATAAACAACGACGTTTCTGAGCGTTGAACAGATAAATATTTATGATGAATGATGTTTGACACACGGAATTCGAGTTTGCTTTGAAGAGGTTTAATATGGAATCCGATGAATGCTTTAAAGGAGTGTGAATCCTTTCGGTGGTTAAAATGCTTAAAATTAGCAGAATAATCATTGATCACTGAGAATGTGTTCACACATTCACAGCGAAACGGAACTATTGCTTGGTCAGAATTGAACCAATTAGGTGATAGTTTAATGGTAAACACCCTATCAAGTGAGCTATTCTTAGAATGTGTCGCTCGTTTATTTGAGTAAAGAAATATTGTAGAGTTTATGATCAAGCATTATTTTGATAATTGGAATCCACAATCTGAGGAGCAAACTTCAGATAGAAACCAATTCAGTGGAAAATTTAATGTAAAAACTACACTATGAAATTATATGGAAACATATTTTGTGCAATATGAAAATTTCAATATTTTGCATAGTCGCGAACACGCGATATAGTCGAACTCGTGCTATTTTATTTGAAATATTAGAGCGTTTCTATGGATGATCAGTGTTCACAACGGAAAACATTTATGAAAATTGCACTTCTTTTCATAAATGAGAAATGAGTGGGCCTGTGATAAAAAGATAGAAAGATATAAGGTTACTTGCACTTAATATCATGCTAGCCAGGAGGAACGACGCTATAATTAGAACCAGCTATAAAATGTATTCAAAGCACTCATCAGCCTACGTTTGATCTTAATTCAAGCGCTTCGGGCTATAACTTCAGCCGTCACATCGGGCCGCTTGAATGCATTCGACTGGTTTCTTTTCATTTAGATTCGGAATTTTATAAAAAGATTCATTCATCTTTTCGAATATTAGTTTTCATATTGTGAACATATGTGCTATAAATAGAAATAGTAATAAGAGTAATAGTGGATGTGATTGGTTCAACGCGAAATGCTTGAAATAGCAACGCACTCAAATTCGTTCATATTTTGTTAGGCGGCGGTTGATGAGTATCCAGGGAAATGAATGATTACGCATACGGATACTATGCGATAAGGGAGGAAATGCTGCTGGTGAGATCTGAGATTGATGAGATATATGTAGATCAGAGGTGCAGATTTTGTGCGGTTTATGCTCGGTTTAAAGCGTTGGCACTGTGTTCTTTGTTATATGTTGAAGTGCAAGCTTTGCTTGTGTGTATGTGTGCATAATGGGGATGAGTAGGGTGAATGTATGAGCAAATGAATGAACACAAGGAAATTCATGGTACGATTTAAAGCAATTTTTTCAGTTTGCCTAAATTCAGTCAATTGATAGGCTGGTTTTAGTATAGAGCTTGGATAATCTATGAGAGGAGCATTCGAGAGGAATTCAACTGGCAGCACTTTCATGATTTCTGATGACTTTCAAGTTCAAGTAGATTGCCGAAGACTTTCAAATCAATGAGGGTTTCAAGTAGAGTTCAAACTTTCGGATGGAAATTTGAGGTTCATTTGACTGATTTGGCAAAATGCAGGTTTTGGCATTTGACTGATCGACAAAGGGGGCAATGAACGATGAGAATCGCCATAAATTCAAAACTGCGGAAAGTTCTGTTTTTTTTCGAATTCGAATTTGCTCTCAGAATGAGTTTTCTCCGGAAATCGCGAAAGTGATTCCAGCTTCCGTTCTTGCGTGGTTTCATTGCGCGCTATTAACAATAAGTGAGCAATTTTTCAGGAAATGAAAGGTGAACTGAAAATCACAAAATTAAACTTATGAAGCATAGCATTCATGAAATATCATCCAGTTAAACTATTATACAAGACTGCTTCCGCAAACATGAATGAATTGGATGGATCTCGAGGTGAATTCGTCTGTCTCGGGGGAGGGGAACGAAAGAACCTGTTTGACTGCCTTGAAAATTCGCCGACGAAACGTCTACAGTTACTTTTTCTGTGTCTAATTGCTACAAATGATGTGGAATTTATATTCTATGAGAGGTTTCCGAAAAAAAATCTCGTCTAGAACAACGTGATACTCAATTAGGTTTTTTCTAGAAGAAATTACAAATTGAAAAATCAAAGGCAAAACTATGACCTTAATTTACGACTGTCAATAAACCTGAAAATTCAGGGTTGACGAAGACGGCTGACTGAAGAATCAACAATTTGTTGGAGAGCTGGCTATAAAATTCGAACAATTCTAATGTGTTCGCCGAATTCGTTAAGCAACGTTTACACAGCACCGAAAAATGTTCCTTTTTTCGAACGAGTAATCTTCATGTTCTCATGTAAAGCATAAATTTTTCACTAAAGTTGTGTTTCTATCGTGCTTGACTGATTACCAAAACGTAAGCACACCTGCCGCTTTGATTTTTTCGCTAATTTTTTAACGTTCAAAAAATTTCGATCAAAAATTCCAAATGTTCAATATTCACATCGATGTGACAGAGCGTTTCCTGGCAAGAGGAGTTTGTTTAAAGGCAATTTCGACGCATTACGGATGTGTGTTCATTCCCTCAGAGCCGTGGATGTTCTATTTCATGTGCGTCTGTTGAATTTTCAGCAGATCCATCAGCATTCCCTGAATTTTCACGGCTTCTTGCAGTCTATTGGTTAGCATTCAACGGTAATAATTTGTTTCGAGTCACTGTTTCGTTAACGTCCGATAATTGTGTCATCAGAAAAATACGTAAGTGCTCAGTGCTTACAATTAGTAACGTGTGCACTCTCGTGTAAAATCTCTCGCAGAAATGGCTAATTGCATTTGCCTTTTATTTCTGCAAAACAACTGAAAATTGCAAGATAATTATCGCAAAAGCATTCGATATAAACAGATCAAATAGTAATGTAAAGATCATTATCGAACCCAACTGACCTAAACCAGCTTCCATCAGTATTTTGAATACCGTAGAACATATGATCAGAGGCATTTTAGATTTTGCAAAAGACTATAAATAATTCCGATTGTCAAAATATTCTGCAAATCCAACGAGTATAAATTTTGCGGAAATTCTGGATTGGGGAAATAAAACGATTATTGGATGCTGAAAGATAGCAGAATTCCTCAGAGAGGATACACCTCATATGATAAGATCACTGATGATGAAATAAACGATGACCAAGTTGAACTGCCAATATACCACGGCTCAAACTAATTTCTTATAAAAGTTTACTGTTCACAAAAACTCTCAATCTCTTCCGACCAGTTCTAATTACTCTCATACCTGTTCGATGCTAAAAGCGCACTCTTTTCATTGTTTCTCATTCACTTTCTCTCATTCCATCCAATGAATAAAGTGGAACTCTCTTTTTATTAATGAATATTTTGCACGTGGTTGTTCCACTCGATAGATTTATTCCATGGAAGGTTTAAAACTTCAAAGTATGATCGGAAATGCTATAAAAAGACGTCATCCGTTGATTTTTCAAATCCAGAGATTCCAATTTTCAACTACACGAATGAAGGCTTTCGTTTCACGTTCCCCGTAATCCGATGAATTGAAGATTCCTATTTTGGACAATAATATTGACGTTGAGCTGAGTAATGAAACTGTGAAAGTTTCGCGTATATTCAACAAATTCAAGCCATAATAGTTAGGAGATAGACAGATTTCATTAAGAGGAAATTGCATTGGAATGCGAAGACTTAAAAACTTGCGAGTGAAAGCTTTCGTCTGATGTCAATCAAGCATTTTGATGTTTCGTCAAAAATAACGACTATGTGACATGGAAAATTAATTATTCGAGTAATTTAATTCGGTTTTACATCGCAGAAATTAATTATCCAACGCCGTCTGTTGACAATTAATCAATTTTGTGCAAGAAGTTTGACAATTTGGCTGTTATTTTCGATACTTTAAGTCTTTTTCAGTTGACGTGTTTAAGATGAGCTGAGCTGATGTGAAGAATATTATTGACAGTTGATGAGCGACAAATAATTTGTTTGATAGCAAACGAAATTTATTCGAGGCGGTCACTTGCGTTTGGTCACGTGGAGAGATCAGATGGAACAGCGTGACTGAAGTGATCGATCGGACTTTCCGGAGAGAATTACACTAAAATGACTGGGTACAAGGCATTTATGGACTTATCGGTATGGACTGGACCTATCTTTGGCAGTATTATGAGTTTGTAAGAATTAGAAGTACGTATGTGCTCGAGTCACATTACCGCAAAGAACTCAAGAATTATGATAAATTGAATCGTACAAATATCTGAATATACTACGAGATATACGAAGTTGGATATGGCTACTGAGATAGTTTCAATTGATTCAAGCGGACAATTTTCGAAACTGATAAATAGTTAACAGTTATTGTTCTTCATCTGTTTTGAGGGTAATTTTTTGGTACTGACTGAAGAATCAATTGAGTACTTTGCTATTTGCGTTTGATACAGGAGAGGGGGATTAGATTAATTATTCCAAGTGAAGATGGTTTGTGATCACATTAGAGTAGTTGAGCATGAGGAGACTGAATATCAACGGGGTGAAAACATCTCTCTATGAGGTCAAAACAAGAGAACGTGAGTGACTTCGTTGCAATTTACCTGGTGAGAAAATATTCGTAGCCTCTGGAAAGGCGATTTTGAAATGAGCCAATTTCAATGCATCACGTATTTGGAGCCATTTCTTTCTAAAACTGAAACGATTAAACGTTTGAGGAGAATGGAAACAAATTACGATAAGATTCAAAGAATGTGTCGTTTAGAAATCGGAGAAAAAATTGAAAGTTTGATTGTTCTGGCTCGTAAATTTGTTTTATGCAGTCTGAATTGTCCTGGAAAAGTGGTCTGGAGGCGAACTCTGAAAAAACCTCAGTTCAAAACTAACTTTTTCTTTTCTTGACCACTGTCCTTGCGTAGCTGTTGTTTTTGTGGAGATTGTTTTGCGGTTTCGATGAGAATAGGCGTTGCTGATTCGGTGCTAGCTTGAAGGGTCATACTGGATACGACTCGAGATCCCGGATTGATCATAGGTGATTTATGGCGATTGCACTCAATGGATGTTGATTTGGCAAGGTGAATGCTTCAAATGAATTGACGAATTCGATGCGACACTGTTGGATCGGTTGTAAAAATTGATGGTGTAAACAAATGAAGTTGTACTGTGCTTGATAAAATGTGCTCGGCAGATGCTGAAAGATTCATGAGCATTTGTCAATTTTTCCATTTTTAACCACTTTTTCAATCGGTCGCTCGTTTGCGACGAGAACAAACCTCGTGACGACAATACAAAAGAATCACGATACATCATTGTCAACATGAAAAATGATCATTTTTGTGAAAATGAGCATTTTTTCGTTGAAGAAAAAAAAGAAAACGAAAGGAATCCATGAAAAAAACGATAATTGCGAAAAAAAGTTCGCGTGATTAGAAATTAGCCAAACACGATCGATCTTAATGAATCACTTTGATAGATGGGCGATCAAAAACCATCAAAACGCCATGTGTTTAATGGTCATGTGCACATAAATGTGCAGTGAAATTGTAAATTTGAAAATTTTCTTTCGCGTTCAGAAATTGAAATTGAGCGATTGGTCATTGAACCGTTGAAGTTTCAGAAGATTGAAGACAGTAGTTCTGGGTAAGCAAAGCAACTCACGAGGCTTCAAAACGGAGATCAGTAACTGAAGCTGGTTTCTCCTTGACTGTTGGTGTTAACCTTTCCTGATAAACCAGAGATTCAATGTTCTAAAAGCGTCTTAATTGCAAAGAGTTCCGTTGAAATGCTGGGAATACTACGACGGTGTTATAGGATTAACCAATTATAATATTGATACTGAATTTATGATTCAGTCATTCAATTTGAATAAAAGCGCACGAACTTATGCAATAATCCANGAGCAGAAAATTACCATTTCGCAGCATCTAAGGTATTGAACTTTAAGAGACAGAGCTCTTAGCATGGAAAGTTAAGGTTGTGAAGCAAAAAAGGGAGTTGACCACTGAATGTGGGATATCATAGCACCTGATCTTCCAAATATCTATTACCGAGATGTCTCAGCTTCTAAATAACTTCTGAGCTTTCAGATATCCTGACATCTGGAAATTTTAGAACTCAGGACTCTAATCTGGTTCACTGGATGGAAATTCGTTGAAGATCTAGACAAAAATTGACGGACAGCAAAGTTCATAGGAACCACTAACATATTCACACGATCAAATGGCTTAATATATCATTGCAGTAGATCAGATTAAGTTTATGTGGAGTTCGGCTGATGTGAGAGTACAACGCACTAATAACATTGATCGTAAAATTTTTATGTGTTTATATTATCTCCCGTAGATTATCATTATTGCTATGGGATAAAGTTGAACGAATCAAGCCAGCCGACGAAAGCTTGTATGAGAGAAATGGAATAGATGAATTTGTTTTAAATTGAATCGGAATACCGTATTGCACTCCCATTATCGAAAATGTGAGACTGGTGTGAGAAAAACATTGAAATTTTAATCGCTCAAGAATTTCAGTGATTGAATTAACGCAGTCTGTCTGATGACAGAGTTAGTGAAAAAATTTCAAACTTCAATGACTATTCCACATTCAAATTTTTCCGATTCAAGAGTTCATTGAGGGTTTGCGCTGAATTTATGAAAAATTCATGACTAGACGCCGAGTTTTGTTCCATTCTCGCTGGAATTCTATTACTCGTGAAAAGTAAATGAGCTGATTGTGAGACAAAGAAAGGAACCAAACACTGACTGTGAAAGGACAGCTTGATTCAACTGAAGTGATTCGAGAAGGTGCAAGTGGGTGCGATCGGGCACAGAATTTCAGCACTTCATTAATAAACCTGTTATGGTATCTTATGGAATTCTTCGAAAATGAAAAAAAAACTGAGAAATGCAAAGGAAATTTCATTTCAAATGTGCATATTAATGTGCTATTATACAAAGGACGTTGACACCTCGTGTGATTATTGCACATTGCAATTGAATTGTCTTCGAATGCATTAAGTTAAACGCTTCGCTCGCTCTAATGAGTGGATAAAATCAGATAGAATTTAAGCTCTCTACATTTTTTTTAACAAATGAATGAATGGGAAATTGAGAATCTTACAGAGACAAATTTAGAATCTTACAGATTGAATTTTTTTTTAAATCTTATAGTCGTGGCATTCCAACACAAGTAAGGATATGAAGATCATTAAATTTATTTTATTCAAAGCATTCACTTGATAAACTTTATGCTAACTGAGATACGGCAATACAACTTATTCTATATGATCATGATCGCTAAAGATTCACCTCCATCAGTACCACGCAACTTATGGTAAAAGCATAAAATGATAAAGCGAGAAGTCGAGCTAACAGTATATAAATTCAGAAATACATTCAGAAATCGTCAAATTTGAGAAGAATCACTGTCTTAAGTAATACAACTTCAGTTAGTCACTGAGGGTTTATTGTGATCGGCAAAGATCAGGTGATTCTAATTTGAGCTGATTCCGATTTCATTGACAGAAATGATTTGAAAACATGCTTATGCTCGATGACTTTGATCAGTCAAATGTAAGGATACCATGGATATCTGAGATGATTATGAGGGCAATAATTTTACAAGATGAGCGAATTCTGACTTGTTTTAATATGAAGGCGATGAAATGAAAAAATGGTTATTCTCATCGTAATATGAGAGTTTTTGCATGATGATGAGGCGATTACGAAGTTGTGAAGGTTCCGCGGGACTTCGGATGATATTTTTAGTGAGACCAATCATGAGAGTCAAATAAAATGCTTTGAGTAAAATGGCAGTGAGTGGCGAATTGTTGAATGAAAATGGTGAACGTTTCTTGATCGAGTGCTAAATTGAGAGTTGATGAGAGCCTAAATGGAGTAATTTTCGCTAAACTTAAATTGTTGTAAACCTATAAAAAGCTCTTAGTAGTGTCGAGAAAAAGAAGGAACACGCACGCCTTGCTTCCTCGTAAGTAGCATTTCGCTTTTTCTGATTCTCTGCCCTCATTTATTGAGTACACTCTCTTTTTTTTCTCATTCACTGCCATCAAGTAATAACACAAGTTTTGACAAGAAATTACGACAAAGCTTTCTGAGTGATTGATGGTTGTTTCGGCTTTCAGTATTTAATTTTAGCTTATCTTTTGCGTAAGTTTTCAGGCTTGTCAACTTTCATTAGAACAAATACGAACGAAATTGACAAGCTCGCTTATTTTTGCGTTTTCCACGTCGTCAAGCAATTCCCCTGCAGAAAAAGAAGCTTTAATTCAAACACTAAATTGCTTCGATTCAATCGCCTCACTGTGTTCATTCAATCGAATGCAAAATGTCCATTCGACCGCGCATTCATTTTACTCAGCAAACGGACGTGAAAGCATCTGAATTGAATAATAACGGCAGCAGAAATAAAAAGACTTCTTCTCTCGATTCCTCATAAATATTTTCAATTTTCTCGTTTTTGAATGCTGCGTTTCCGTTGAATTTCATTCACAATTTCTTTGCATCACAATAAATTTCGTGCCAATAAAAAGAATATAAATACATTTTATGCAGATAACATAAAAAAGATGTTGATATATGGTCGATTTGAAGCGTGTGATTCGATACTATATTATTATGGAAATTGTATGTGAGCAATTTTGAGAACCTCTCAGCTCTTGAATTCAAGCCTCACTGAAACGTAAAAACTAATAGCTATTCAAACTAGTAACCATTTCTTCACTCGGTCGTCTCTCACTCATGTTCCGTTGCTGTGACATTTTTCTCTCTAAACGTGTTTCATCGTGACCGTTTCCGAAGTTTAAACAATCGGAACGGGAAACGAATGAAGGGAGCCTTATGAAACGGAAATGAGTCGAAGATTGTTGAACTGTTAGCCTGTTATCCCTCAGAAGAGAGCATTCAAGAGAAGCGATGAAAGCGATTTAACAATTGCTTGGATATATTTTGCTGTAGCATCGGAAGTACTCTTGGCAACTATCCTTTGTTGATATATTCGCTCAATAGAGCGAAACGATATTTGCATAGCACTAATAAAACATCAATTCAAACGCGCACTTATGATCGAATAAAGAGAAAATTGTGTTTTATCATCACCACACTACATGATCATTCATATCAAATGACATGACTGATGGATGATGCTATGTTGAAGCCAAACTGCAAATGAGATTGAATTGATGACAGAAATAAGGTTGAAGTCGTGAAAAGATTGAAATTTGAGCAATGACTGCACCAAACAAGAAAAATAGCGAATCAGCAGATAAATAGGAGATAATAACTGAGAATTCCTATAAGAATGAACTCATCCGAGCTGGAATTGCTTCTATTATACGGTGACAAAGATGGATGGGAACTTTCGCAGGAACAAATTTTGTGAGCACCAATCTTATATAATAGTTGACAAAGACACACGGTCTCCGATATTCAGCATGCATCCAACTGCCAACGGACTAGATGGAATATGCGTAGTAAATTAATAAGTTCGGATTTGAATGGGGCAGTGCCTTCATAAAGTACTTTACTTTTTGGCAGAGATCAAATGTAATATAAACAAAACTGTTGACGTTCAGAGCAGCATAAAGCTTAACAGATAAGGCTTCAAGAAATGATTTTTCGAAACGACGTCATTCAGAGACGATAGGATTTTTAGTGAATGACGTCGCTTTTGAGATGTTTTGAGTGGATTTGTTGGGTTGGTAAATCTCTGTTTATCGTTATTGAAAGCCGATGATGTGATGATGTCGGTGGTCCGACGAGAGCAAATTTGCACGATTCTGGTGAATATGAAGTGAATTAATGAAGATTGATGAATTCTAAGAACATCTGCTCACGCAGCAACTGACACAGCTTCGAGTGAACTACTCGAAAACGGATTCATTTTTGCAGCAGAGCATGAATTAACGATGATGTGAGTAATTTGATTGGAATTAGCAGGCAAATTTTGAATTCAAGATAAAACTAATCGTAAGCCTGGAGTTCAA